AAGGCCTCTGCAAACAACAGATACCATCCAGGACTTGCAATGCACAATTCATCACTTTTCAGTGCACATGAATTCATTGCAAGTCCGCCGCGCCTCATCGCAGTACCGTGCGGACCTACTATTACTGTCATAGGTACTCTATCATGTCCTTAACAAGTCGCGAAAAGAATCGAAGCGCTACCTATCTTCGTTCTTCCGCGATTTCATTTTCGAAATCCTGCACTCTAACTTGGACTTTGCATTTCGAGTTTTTCAGCACATGACCACCTCTGGTCAGCTGCCACTTTGGACAGATGATCAGCCAGTGTCCCTGTCGAGTTTCTAGTTCTATCAGGTGCCGGAGTTCCGAGCAGAGGCCTGTGAGAACATGATTAGAAATCTGACAAGGTCCTGTGCTTCTTTCCTTCCTTCCCCCACCATCAACTTCGCTTCTGGTGACTGGTAAGGACATCTGTCCACTCTATACAGCTCTGATAGCTCAAACATCGCCTCACAGCACCTCCTTTTGACTGCACAGACTCTAGCTCTTGCTCACAGAGTCTCAGATCAAAGGAATTGGTGCGCTTTTTCACTGATCTATCTGATCTTTCACTGAACAGAGCCCACAACACATCCATAACAGATCTATACACATCTACAGCCTCTGAAGTCGACCTAGTTGTCAGATCTTGGATATCAGGGCTCTCAGTGCGCTTAGATCGATGTTTTTTGCCTGTGTACTGTATACTGACTGATATCTGACTTAGATCTTGCTTGATCAAGTCGATTTTTCATCACCCTCCCTCCTCTCCCTCTTTCTATCTTGATGTAACTGTACAAACCAATGTATGTTTGATTTGTGTTTTCTTTTTCAACTCTGTTTTGTAGTATGCATTCCTTTATTAGTTACATGCATGTATTCAGTACATAGCACTTCATGATCCGCTTAATTTATGGCCTGGGCCTGAGTTTTTGGCTAACTTATTCACTCCTGAGTGATGAAAGGCATAGGCCTTTTGAACATGAACATATGCAATGCATCCCCAGACACGCAAGTTGTCAACCTTTGGCTTGACTTTATACCAGACTTCAAAAGGAGTGACACCTGGTGTTAAAGGTATGATTTATACAAAGTGTCCAGACTGGGGATTGAACCCAGGACCTTCTGGTGAAATCCCAAGATGCTCTAACCAACTGAGCTATCTGGCCATGGTTACAGCTAATGGAAGATCCCTGAAGTACTGTCAGAGGTGCAACACCCATATTGTCCCAACATCTATATCTTCGGACCTATATATTGCCTCTTTGGACTTACATATTGCCTTATAGATTTGGGATGGGATATTTGCACATGACATACAACATTCCATCAGGGTGTCAGGATTGATTATTAATCCCAACACACTCCCGCAATCTGACACACTTATGTAAGCCATCATTCCCATGCACTAGCGCTCGGGGCCCATAACCTGTTAAAGGTATGATTTATACAAAGTGTCCAGACTGGGGATTGAACCCAGGACCTTCTGGTGAAATCCCAAGATGCTCTAACCAACTGAGCTATCTGGCCATGGTTATCAACTATGAACTTGTATCTCTTAAGTGCCAGAGCCTCTCCAAAGGTTCTTACAGAATGCCCAACTGGAAAGGTCTCACATCTACTAGGAATGCCCCAAGTAAGGTCTCACATCATGCCTTTATAATGGAGATCATTTGGATACACACTTGACAAGTCATATGTGTGTCAGATTATGTCATCCAACACCTGGGACAGCAGACGTTGGGCATCGATTAAGCACATAAACAAGCGCAGCCAGGCATTCAGCCCAAAATGTCTTTGGTAAACCCGATTCCAGTAGCATAGCAGTCAGTAATTCAGCCAATGTCCGGTTAAGCCGTTCAGCAACTCCATTCTGCTGGGGTCGATTCCGGGCTGTTCTCTGCACCTCAATCCCCTCGTCTTTCAAGAACTGTTCCATTTCTTTGGATATAAACTTGCCACCTTTGTCATGACGGATCACCTTGATCTTTTTACCAGTAGAGTTTTCCGCCCAGGCCTTAAACTGCTTGAATGCACCAAATGCTTCACTCTTCTTTTTGAGTAGTGCAACTGCTCTGAAGCGTGATTTGTCGCATATAAAGGGGATCCAATAGCGGTAGCCAGAAGGCGAAGCAACACCAGTATCATGTACATCCATATGAACAAGTTCAAGAACTTCACCAGCACGAGTATCACTACTAGGAAAGGGATTGGCATGCATCTTTCCACCAAGACATGGTTCACATACTGGGTCTGGCTTTGCACTAGAATCGAGTTTAAAGCCCTCAACCATACCATTTCTAGACAGCTTGCTAACATCACTCAGATTGTAGTGAAAGAAGCGTTGATGCCACAGCTCAAGGTCAAGAGGTAGAGTTGAACCGACATTTGCAAACTCAGCTACTGTACTAATAGTGTGTCCATTAAGCCTATGCCTTTCATCACTCAGGAGTGAATAAGTTAGCCAAAAACTCAGGCCCCAGGCCCATAAATTAAGCGGATCATGAAGTGCTATGTACTGAATACATGCATGTAAGTAGCTAAAGGAATGCATACTACAAAACAGAGTTGAAAAAGAAAACACAAACCAAACATACATTGGTTTGTACAGTTACATCAAGATAGAAAGAGGGAGAGGGAGGGTGATGAAAAATCGACTTGATCAAGCAAGATCTAAGTCAGATATCAGTCAGTATACAGTACACAGGCAAAAAAACATCGATCTAAGCGCACTGAGAGCCCTGATATCCAAGATCTGACAACTAGGTCGACTTCAGAGGCTGTAGATGTGTATAGATCTGTTATGGATGTGTTGTGGGCTCTGTTCAGTGAAAGATCAGATAGATCAGTGAAAAAAGCGCACCAATTCCTTTATCTGAGACTCTGTGAGCAAAAGCTAGAGTCTGTGCAGTCAAAAGGAGGTGCTGTGAGGCGATGTTTGAGCTATCAGAGCTGTATAGAGTGGACAGATGTCCTTACCAGTCACCAGAAGCAAAGTTGATGGTGGGGGAAGGAAGGAAAGAAGCACAGGACCTTGTCAGATTTCTAATCATGTTCTCACAGGCCTCTGCTCGGAACTCCGGCACCTGATAGAACTAGAAACTCGACAGGGACACTGGCTGATCATCTGTCCAAAGTGGCAGCTGACCAGAGGTGGTCATGTGCTGAAAAACTCGAAATGCAAAGTCCAAGTTAGAGTGCAGATTTCAAAAATGAAATCGCGGAAGAAACGAAGATAGGTAGCGCTTCGATTCTTTTCGCGATTTGTTAAGGACATGATAGAGTACCTATGACAGTAATAGCAGGTCCGCACGGTACTGTGATGAGGCGCGGCGACTTGCAATGAATTCATGTGCACTGAAAAGTGATGAATTGTGCATTGCAAGTCCTGGATGGTATCTGTTGTTTGCAGAGGCCTTCAGAAAGTCTCCCTACCCTTGGAATCCGCCTTCATGTCGAGTAACCAACCGATTTATTATTAACTGATGCAGTGAACAGGACAGAACCATTAAGTGAGAACTCCATAGTATCTCTAAGAATTTGTAGAGTAAAACCTTTATGCTTGGTCAAGTAAAGAACTGAGAGGAGATTGTTATTAAAAGCCGGTACATGTAAAACTCGAGAAAATAAAAACTTGTCTAACTTCTTTGCCATCAACAATAGAGTAAATAAAACTTCGCCCATCCCTTCTGAATACACTACATTATGATCTGCAAGACGAATAGGCACTCTGTGAGGACTTGTTGAAGTTAAATGCACTCAAGTGCCCTTCAGCTAACCCAAGCAGTGTGCTACCTTTCTTAGTAAAGTGTTGTTATGCTCAGTATAATGACTATATTGTACCTCTATGTACAGTTACAGCTGTCATATGCATGTCACAGTCTGCATCAAGGCGACAGGCCCCATTTTGACTGTGACATGGGCAACCTTGAATAATTTATTTCAACAGATTAGTGAAATTTTCACTATATTTTTCTGTGTCATGGTCAGAAGCAAGGCAACAGCCCCATAATTCACCATGACATCACAGTAAAGAGGTGACACAACCAGGCCTCTGTGACCATGACCATTGTAACTGTACATGGAGGTACAGTAGTGTTGTACTAATTGCCTTATAGTTGCTCAGTACTCCAATAGAAAAGAAATGTGAATATTGATTTGGACTCTTTCTAACTATGTAAGGAATAGGTATTTGTTTGGTTCTATTTGTACTGAAACACATGAGGCGTGAAAATAGGTGTCCACAATTGTGTGCGCATACATATTTTCAACAGTCACCACTCAAACTGAAGAAATAACTCTAAAACTAAGTAAACTAAGCAAAATAGTGAACTAGAAGGAATATGAAGAATGTAATCAAACTTTACTATAAAAGTATATACTTTAGAGATGGAATATGGTCGTGGGAAGGTGATTAGGTAAGCAGATGTGTGACAGCACTATGTACACTCAACAATAATTGCATTGCCATTGGTCAAAATGCTATATATTGCTGTCAGAGGTTGGAGGAGTAGATGTAACTGGAGCAAAGAACCAGTGTATCCAGATAGATGGGACAAATACCCAATCTAAAGGCATGGAGGGCACACCTCTGTGCAAGAAAGAAGAGACAAGGAAGTAAGCAGTTAACCATGTTGTTTAAAACTGGTCTGGGATTCAGGAAAGTTTGCAAAGAAGAAAAGTTCCAAACAGCTACCACTATGTTATTTTGTTTTATGATCTACACTACTAATAGTACAAACAAAAAGAGATAAATAACATCAATACCATAAGATAAACAGCCAAAAAGTATCAGCTATTGGTGCAAAGCCCTTGTGGGATTCAAACCCACAACCTATTCAATTCAGAAAAACAATCCTATAAAACTTGGTAATCTCTATGTTGGCTAGGATTCAAAGCACATTGGGCAGATCTCAGCTTGGAAAAGTACATCCTGAATATTATGATAAGCAGGCTGAGAAAAAAAATCAACCAAGGTATAGGCCCTGAGTGGGATTCGAACCCACATCCATTCAGCCAGAGATAAACATTTTGTCACATTACTGAATGATCATACCACTAGACCATCAGGGTGTTGATAATTTTTTTTAATTTTGTGATATACATTATCATAATTTAATCAATTAAGTAAACACGCATTAAGTATCCTGGTCCCATCTTTCTCTTGTATCTCCTCCCAATCTCCTCTTTCAGTCTCCTCTTTCTACCACAGAGGTGTGCTTTCTGTACCTTTAGATTGGGTATTGTCCCATCTATTTTACATACACTGGATCTTTGCTCCAGTTATGTCTAACATTGTGGTCTCCAACAGCAATATATGGCATTTTGATAACTCACAGGTAGAGATGTCCACAAGTCCAAGTCTCAACAAGTACTTGCAGGTAAGATCTGTGGGAAAACTCACAAGTATGTGACTTGCGGATCCCAAGTCAAGGTTTCCAAGACTTTGCAAGTATTTGTGACTTGTGCAAGGCATAGTATACATGTATTTTCAGTAATAATTACAACTTACATTGGTCAATAATATCATACTTACTACTATATAAGTTGTTGAGTGCTGGCACACAGATATTAAGTTGTAGACAGCTCACAGCATTTAGGCGCCAATTTAAGTGCCTAAACGCCGTGAGCTGTCTACAACTCAAAACTTAGATGTGAGTACATATTTACTTCATAACATAGTATGAAATTGTTGTAAACAAGTTAAGTACATGGTTTTGTTAGCATTATATACTGTACAATCAATTTATGCAAGTTAGAGATGTCCAGGAGTCCAGGTCTCTACAGGTACTCGCAGGTAAGATCTGTGGGAAAACCTGCGAGTATGTGACCCGCAGATCCCAGGATCCGTTTCCCATGGGTCCGGCGCAGGTCACAGGTCAGACTTTGGAGAATTTCAGCTGACTTGCAGGTATTTTTATGACTTGTACAAGCAATGTAAACCCATACATTTGTTAATTAGTGCTCAAAATTTATAGTACAAGCAACAATATTTGTCAGTTAACACTCAAAACTTACAGTAACTCATAGTATCATGTTTATTATAGTACTTATCAAGTACTGGCACATATGTTTGAGGTTGTAGACAGCTCACGACATTTGGCGCTAATTTAAGTGCCCCATCGCCGTGAGCTGTCTACAATGTAAAACCTTTCTGTCAGTACATATTTACTTCATAACTAAGTTACAGTACAATATTTTATAAATGGTATGTATCATAAAACAGGTAAGTACTTTATTAATGATTATTAGTACACTCTTTGGCATAAATACACAAATACCTGCAGGTACTTGCAAACTTGCAGGTAATTTACCTGCGAGTCAAAGATCCGTTTCCCACAGATCTTCCGCAGGTCACAAGTCAAGGCTTTTGGGCCACAGGTACTTGCGCGCCGGATCCAAGTATACTTGGATCCGGACTCATGGACATCTCTAATGCAAGTAAGTAATGGTAAATACTTCTGTAACACTTGTTTATTAGATGAATCACAAGTACCTGCAAGACTTGCAAGTAATACTTGTGAGTCAGTGACCCGTTTCCCACAAGTCAGCCATGGGTCACAAGTCAGGCCTTTTGAGGCCACAAGTACTTGCACTCCGGATCCAAGTATACTTGGATCCGGACTCGTGGACATCTCTACTCACAGGCAGTGACAATCCTATAAAACTTGGTAATCACTATGTTGGCTAGGATTCAAAGCACATTAGGCAGGTCTCAGCTTGGTGAAGTACATTCTGGAATGTCAGCAATCCTCTGCTGCATAAATTTGAGAGAGGATTCAGGATTTTATGATTCAAGAACTTCTTTGAAGCACCCACAATTTGTCGTAGGCGGGAGGGCCAAGGATGGTTTTTGATCTTTGACTTTCAAATTGACTTTTTTGATCAGAGATCAAGGTTTGTCTCATGGTATCACACATTATTTCTGAGTGATTTTTGTCGTGCTATGTATGTTTCTTGAGTATCCTAACTAGCTACCTGGTGATTTCATGTGCTATTGGAACTGTTCAACCAGAAACATTAGTGAAATGAAGAACCTGTGGTATAGTGTCTTGATATGAAGTAACACATGCTTGGATCTGTGCCAAAACTTTAAGGTCATATGCTAGTTCTAGAAGTAGCCTTTTTTTCACAGACCTCATGGGATTGAGTTGCTTCAAAACTTTGTCACCTACATCCACCATGCCCCTAGCTCAAGCTCTGGCAAGTGACGACCTGGAAAAAATAATAAAAGTGAGTATTTTATACTACAATTATTTGAAGCATACATTAGAGTCCATATGTAGAATTAGAATGGCTCTTATCTACCACAACCCTCGAGGCAATTGCCTGCCTCAGTGCTCAAGACTATGATAATGCAGCACATCCACTGATACAAAAGTAAGATGAGTACACGAAAGAAGGGTCTGCACACTGTGATGTAGATAATCTTGATTTGTATACTTGACATCTTATTTATCTGTGAGCTCAAAGTGGGATATCTTTTTCCGCCATATTGGTGATGCTGCAGCCACTGCTGGTACCAATGAAGCAAGCCAAGCATTGCATGATAGCCTGCTCTATTATTTTCCCAATGGACATCCCAAGCTAAAACAGAGGCCTCCCATTTTTTCAAGCATCAACTTGTCTGTCTTCCTTTAATATTGCTTTCTCTATGCTGTCTTAATTTTTGATCCTCTGATGCTACAGATCCTTAATCTTGGTTTGAACTTCAAAGCATATGCTATTTGTGAGGCTCTTATGTGTGGGGATACAACATTCACATTGCCTTGTGGTACCACTCTAAAGCTTGTTTGCTGTGACCCTGATCCGAAACCAAAGTTTGCATCCTACCATCACTTGTATGATATAGGTGGCCCTCATATGCGTAAGGGTGGCAAAGCAGTAGATGAAGCCAATGGCTTCCTTATTGTGCAAGCCAATGAATCTATACTTTTTTACAGTGGTGGTATGTGATTCACTTTGTAATTCATTGTTACTAGATCCTTATAGCATTAGATCCTGCTTATTTCAATGATGAGCACATTGAGCTTATAGTCATGCAGGGAGTTGCACAACCTCAGCCTGAACAAGCCTCAAAGAAGACTAGGCTTGGTCCTACTGATAGTGATGTGTTTTTTACATGGTTGCTTGTCATCATTGCCTATGCTGTCTGGGTCCGAACCAACACATGGGTATGTTCATCTATTTCTTTGCAATTAATATTGAACATCATCAATCTCCTATTCAGCTGCCAGCCCCATGCGTTAGATCTGGTCATGAAGGAATTATGGCTCAGTTTGGCATTAATGAAGGTTCATATTCAGCCCATCAGATAGGATATGCAAAAAGCTATAAAAACAATTTATTGCTCTCAGACACAGACCGTATAGCTCACAACAAAGATCTTAATGGTGCAGCTGGGATTTTTTGGTCTTTAAATTCTTTCCAGTATGCCTACAAAGGTTACAACACCTGTAGTTAAGAAGCTTCAAGAAAATGCAGTGCCTCATCTTGGAAGTCGATATATTGAGCCAGGTTTGTGTCATCTTCCCATTTTTTACCAATGCTTGTTGGATGCTTGTTTTAATTTTAATTTATTGTGTTAGGCAAAGGATTCCATATTCAGATTGGTGATGCTGCAGTTATCTTCCCTGATGCTAGCTGTGCTCCTCCAGAACTATATCTTACTAGGGGCTAGACTGCATATGAGATTTTTTATTTTGCTGCAGATTACTTTTAATTCTGCAACAGGTGGTCACATTTAGACAAGTGTTATGCACCTTTTGCCTTTAATCTTGCTGTTGCGCATGATCACAACATAGCGGCTGCAACTGCTGGCCATGTTCCCATTCCTCCTTATGGTGGAGCAAACTTTGTAGATGTTAATCTGCAACTCGTTATTGTGAATGCGACAGCAACACTCTTTGCTTTCAGGCCTACACATGTCTATGGCATAACTGTATCTGGTGGAACAACCAATTTTGAGTTGACCTTTGCATTTTCACAGCATATTGCTGATGCATTAGCCCAACTCAAGGACTGTACTGCTTTTGGCAAATCAAACTGGGGGGCAGTGGAAGGTAATATGGATGATGAATATCTGTTAAATAAATGACATGTGTAATTGCAATTATTCTATAAAGCTATCCAAAAATGCAAGATCCTCATTGCTCCACTCATCCATGTTCTGTGTTGCAAGATCCGCAGTGCCCCAGCCATCCATGTTCTGTGATGTAAGATCCTCAAAGCGCCACCCCCCCACGTTTTGCACAGCTGGACTATGAACTTTTTTTTGATTCTCCACAAAACTATCCCAAGTCCCATTCCAGCTACAATGGGTTTGTTCGGCTGATATAAAAACTTGGTAGTGACGCCGAAATATTGTTTTGGCATTTGGGGAATGTGGAAAGGCCATGTGAAAGCTCTTGCCTGGACTATATCTGGCATCTTGCAATGTGCCATATTGTCTCATACCGGCAGTGATTTCATTGTAGGAATAGCTCAATGGCCAGCGGCGTTTCTGTAGATTTGGAATGGTAGTGGATGGATGCTGAGTGTTACAGTGAAAGTGACATATCTCCTTCTTTAGTTGGGGACAGTTTTTGATGCATCCATCAGCTATACCCCCAGGCAGTGCACAGTATAAAAGAACCCCTGTTGAGTCAATTTTACGCACAGTGGTGACATCATGATGCTGCCACTCCCTGCTGGAAGGCTTGTATGTAGCAATTATGGATGAGCTGTCTCCATCCAGGACTCCATTGAAGAATTGGATGCAATCTTGGATTGCAAAAAAAGGATAAGTGGTGACATGGCTGCGCAGAATAATTGGTTCTACCTCTTCCTATATAGGATGAGTGCCACAAGCATACTAAAATGGTCAACCTACATATCTGGAGCCAAATCTTGATTGATATTGTATTTGTGAACTCTTCTTCCAGCTTATTTCTACTGCTGTCATCCATTCCAGCCGCCAACAAGTGACCGAGAAATTCAGAAATTTATATTTCTTCAGCATTTAACTACAAAAAAACCTCAGGGTTGTCTGGATTTTGATGCTCCAATACTGACCCTAGCAATCTGGATTGCCT